GTTGATATACCAGCATGCAAACCAAATTTATTAATGGAAGGCAATTACGCATGTATGTAATTTGCTATGTATATAATTAATTTCTAATGACTTGAATCAAAATGTGAAGAGGCCAAGGAGTACAGGTCTCACCAGCTAGCAGGAAGGCTGATATGAAGAATGGAACCAATCCCATGTAAGTTCACTAGGATCTTAGCATGTAATGTACACTCATGGGAGTAGTAGATGATGAGACTGACTGATATAGGAAGCCATTTTCATAAACATAAGGCATGTTTGGTTTATTGCTTTGGGATTCCACTCTCACTGATGTCAATTCAACATAATAAAAACTGTACCATAGAGAACCAAATTACAAGTATTTGTGACTAGTTCAAATGAAAATTGTCAGAATAGCATTCAATTATTATTAATTATTAACGTGATATCGAGTAAGGTCTCTGAAGTTCATCACAAAGTTAAATTAAACTTAATATTTAATAACAGCAATTTTTAATAATTAATTTGCCTCACTTTCTTTTCCCAAATGTCTTTCAGAATATATCCAGGAGTGGTTCAATACCCTTGGCAATTATCAATTAACATTTTGAACTTAGTTATCAATGTTGTGCAGCTTAAATAGCATTTTAAAATGTGGTTTTTGATTGGTGAGTATCTATGTGATTTCTGTGATCTTTGTGACCTATATAACCACATACAGCATCAATACAAATGCAGTTATTTCACTCTGAGACTTGTGCGAATATGGGAAATTCCTTGCGTAATACAATAAACTACTAAATGAAAAGAACCGTATTTGCTTTATTAGTAATGCATATAAAGTTATTTCTATGGTCAAAATAAGTAATATTTAATGATTTAGTGTATTACAAATGCAATTTTTGGTTTATACATTTGTATGCGTTTCTATTTGAGGTATAACACAGTACTTCACTTTTAATATTTTCAGTTTCCATGGTTACAACTTGATTGGCAGATATAAAGTCATAATATCTACATATATACCAGTCTTTTGTTTCTAGAAAGTTTGCTCTGTATTATTTATAAGTTTTAAACAAATTGTTACAAAATAATAGATATTATTATACATCTGTCACTGTAACGCCATAAGTTAAAGTGTGCCGTAATTTTGCGGTATTTTATGGGGTATTTTTATCCTACCATATTAAGAAATGCGAATTCCAAATATGGAGCGATTATGCGCATAAACGTCCCCTAATAATAAAAACAAACATGGCAGCCCCCAGAGTTTGGCCGAACCCCATACAAAGAAGTTCACTTGATTTGTTCTGATAAAACCTTTTATATTTCGGCACCCCGATGATGTATCCTTGGGAGGTAAAGATGTATAATAATAAGGTTATTATGAGGATACCTCAAAGTATGCACTCAGACAGTACACGGTCACAGTGCATACTTTCCGGTATCCTCATAATATATAGATAATACTAGATTTTTGTTTACGCATAATTAGTTCAGCACCAAACTTTAATCTTGGTAAGGTCTGAGATTAAACATCACATGTACTATGTGTTATACAAAACAAGCCATGCATCGCACAGTCCCTTTTAGTTATCAAATTTAAGACATAAAGTTTTGTTTATAGTAATATAGCTGGAATATAAACATGTCAGGAATATGATGATTGTTTAACATTTAAATGATTGACATTTGTATCTGATCGTTCAAACGAGTATTGAGAGATATTGCTCTGGAACAGCA